TCACATATGTACACCTTAAGAGATATCAAGTAGGTGTAACATGTTCTCAAAAAATTAGGGTTGGCACACAGAAGAATTTTGAGTCAGAGATTTTGCTGGTTTTGGCACGCACTCACAAAAAGGTTGCCCACCCCTGCCCTAGTTCCAACAGTGTACAAAGGATCAGTACTGGCCTATCAAGCCAACTAAAGGTAGCACATGAAGCACCCACAGATATTAGCCACAGAGGTGCAAGGGCCTTTAAATTTTTTATATATATATATACACATACACACACACACACACACACATATATGTATACATGTATATATATGCTATTTATCCTTTAATGTCTTTAAAAATATAATATTTGATACAAACTAAAAAAGTATAATATCTAAGTTTAAAATACAGCTATGATCCTATATTGTACTAATGATTTCATACCTGTATGAAAATGTTCAGGTAAACTCGTGTGTAGGAAAGAATTTATGGATCTAAAAATAAAGTCACTCACCACTTAGAATGTGGTGAATATATGTAATATAACGAATGTATCAACTATAAATTTTCTCTTTTTTTAATCTATTTTTATTGATTTCAGAGAGAGAGAGGGAGAAAGAGATAGAAGCATCAATGATGAGAGAGAATCACTGATCGGTTGCCTCCTCCATGCCCCCTACTGCAGATCAAGCCTGCAATCCAGGCATGTGCCCTGACCAGGAGTTGAACTGTGACCTCCTGGTTCATAGGTCGATGCTCAACCACTGAGCCACACCGGCCAGGCTCAACTGCTAATTTTAAAATATTAACATTACAAATGTAATTGTGGAAAATCAAACTCAATATCTGTTTGGATTTTTTGTATTTTGCCTTACAGATAGTGATTTATATGTGTTGACTACCAGATTTTTTTCAATTATTTTTTATGGTGGTAAAATACACATAATATAAAATTTACCTTCTTAACCACATTTAAATGTATGGTTCAGTGGTATTGAATAAATTCATTACCCCCATACATGTTCATAACTTTTTTATCTTGTAAAATTGAAATTTTCTATAATGAAATAATAACTGCCCATTCACCCCTTCTCCCAGACCTTGGCAACCACCATTCTACTTTTTGTCTCTATGATTTTGACTATTCTAAGTATCTCATATAAGTCTAATCATACAATATTTATCTTTTTGTGACTGGCTTAGCATAATGTTCTCAAGGTTCATCCATGTTATAGTATGTGTCAGAATCTCCTTCCTTTTTAAGGCTGAATACTATTCCATCATGTATGTATACCACATTTCACTTATCCCTTCACCCATCCATGGATATTTGGATTGCTTCCATATTTTAGCTATTGTGAATAATGCTGCTGTGAACACGGATGTACAAATATCTCTTCAAGACTCTGTCTTCAGTTTTTTAGGGTATATATACCCAAAAAATAGAATTGTTGGATCATATGGTTATTCTACTTTTAATTTTTTGAGGAACCACTATACTGTTTTCCATAGCAGTACATTTCCAAAAAAGTACCATTTTATATACCAACAGGGCATAAGAGTTCCAATTTCTCAACATCCTCACCATTCTGTTTTTCTTTTTCTTTTTAAATATATATATTTTTATTGATTTACAGAGTAGAGGGATAGAGAGCTAGAAACATCGATGAGAGAGAAACATCGATCAGCTGCCTCCTGCACACCTCCCACTGGGGTGTGCCTACAACCAAGGTACATGCCCTTGACCGGAATCGAACCCGGGACCCTTCAGTCCACAGGCCAACGCTCTATCCACTGAGCCAAACCGGTTAGGGCCCATTCTGTTTTTCTTTGTTTGATAGTAGCCTTATAGTTTTGTGAGGTGATATTTCCTTGTAGTTTTGATTTGCATTTCCAAAATGATTAGTGATGTTGAACATCTTTTCATGTGCTTTTTGGCCATTTATATATGTTTTTTAGGGAAATGTCTATACAAGTCCTTTGCCTATTTTTTAATTGGGTTGTTTGTTTGTTAATGTTGGTTGTTGAGTTTTACAATTTCTCTATATATTCAGGATATTAATCATTTATCAGATATATTATTTGCAAATATTTTTTTCCGTGGATTGTTTTTCACACTGTTGATATTTAGAATTCTAAACCTGCTGTCAAGTGAACTGTCTTTTACCCCCCTCTTTTTAAGTATTTAAAAATTTCATTGACATTTTAGGGTCTTCTAGCTGCTATTTGAGTTGATAGTAGCAAGAATGGACTCTGATCCTAAACTACTAGTTAAATGTTGTTTTGAGCTAAGTACTATGCTATTTTAATAAAGAAAATCAAATCTGAGAAAAGAAGGAAGAGAAAGAACTACTTTTTAGGATCCAGACTTTGAGAACTTGTACCGACCAAACATTTACTGTAGTTTAAAACTATTTACAAATGAAGATAACATTGATGGTTTAAGTTTTTGTGAGCTAAGTGTAAACTGGAGTTTTCTTATGCCCAGTCTTAACCTGCATTTTCAAAGAGCAGTAAACCAGACTTCTAATGAATATAATTTGCTGGGCAGTGCATAAATATATATAAAATACTTTCTACCTAGACCCCATCATATATATTTATATACATGGGCATATGTTTTCCTTTACATAAGTGTATGTCTATATGTATATAAATTTTCAAATAAACAAATGAAAAAGTATACATGGTACCTAGCTTACAGGATTAGAAATGTAATTTAGTTTACTCCCACAGAATAAGATTGAAGATAATGAGAAGTGAATTAAAGCTTACTTTCTTTCGCAGAATTCCTCAGAGAGAGAAGACTGTAATAATGGCGAACCCCCTAGGAAGATAATACCAGAGAAGAATTCACTTAGACAGGTATGAAATTCAGTCTTACTTAAAAGGTTATCAACAACTAAACAAAAGATAGGAAACCCTTAATTTGCCATTCATTAAACATGGGAGCTTAAATTAAGAGTACTTTGAAGTTGGTGTGGCTATAGCCACCAATTTCAATCAGGTAACATTGTTTTCCCAATCTTTAAAAATATCCTAGATATCCCAACTGTGTAGCTCTGTTGGTAGGAGTGTCATTCCATACACCAAGAAGACTGCAGGTTCCATCCTGGGCCAGTGTTCGTACAGGAGGCAGCCCTTCAATGTTTCTCTCTCACATCAATGTTTCTCTCTCTCTCTCTCTCTCTCTCTCTCTCTCTCTCTCTCATTCTCTCTCTCCTCCCTCTCCCTTCTCTTTCTAAAATCAATAAATATATCCTCAGGTGAGGATTAAAACTATATAGTATGTATCTTAGGAATACAATTGCTTACCAGTAGTCAAAACAAAATCAAAGAAAAGGTTTCTTTTTTAGGAAAAATAACTTGAAATGCTTCTTAAGTGCAGATAGCAGAATAGTTGCCTTTAAACCTTATTTCCCCTTTAAGATTCTCCATACATTAAAAAAATTAATAATCAGAAGGGATCTGCCTATAGTGAGTTAGCTCCTTCTAATCTGATCAATATTTGTTTGCCTTTCCTAGACATAAAGGCCATTATTGATGACAACTTTAAAAAACTTTTTTACTCACCACTGTCCTCACACTCTCCACATATAACACATTGAAAGTTCAATTCCATAGGGGTTTTTTTTTTTTTATTAAAATGTTAAAAAAAAATTGGTCAAAAATATTTGTTCTTCTCAACTGCCTGTAGCAGCAACTTCTAACATCTTCAATCTCCCACTGGCAACAAAAACAAATTCTTAGCGTTGTCAGAGAATAGGTATAACACTTATTCATTTATTTTTTTTTGACATGTGACATCTTTTTTTGTGTTTTTTTAATTGAAAAATTACCCCATCTATTCATTTTTAATATAACACTGGACAAGATGATCACCAGAAGTCTAGTAAGAATCATTTTAATTTACTTGCATTTATGGCATTATTCTAGGAAAAAGGAGATCTAATATTTGTTGAGTAACCACCATGAACCTCATACTTATTTCATTTAATCCTCATAGTAATCCTGTAAAGTTGTTAGATATGGTTTCTTATTGATAGATACAGAAAATGGAGGCTTAGAGAAATAGGATGGCTTATTTAGCTAGTCAGTGATTTGAAACCCAGATCTCTGTTGTCAAAATGTTTCTACTTCTGCCCTCTGACTCCAGTTTGTATACAGTGTTAATTTAGGGGAAAAGTACTTGCAACTGTGACACTCATTTTTTATTTGCTATATGTTACACCTTTATTTAGAGATAAACACCTGATCTGTAAATGTAAATAAATAATAATATTCAATATTTAGAGCAATATTGAATAAGATAAATTTGTAGATGGAAACAACTGTCAGCAAACAATGACATGACAAAAAGTTTTGGCAACTTTATTTAAGCTAACAAACGAATTTTCACTCTGCAAAGTTATAAATTAATTTTAATAGGCTGATCCAGATGGTCCATTTGGAAAATGGATAGGCTGATCTGTTGAAAATTAAACTAAATTTATCTCTCTCATACTTCAAACTGAAGCAAGAGAGAGAATCGTGCCTATTAAGTCCAGCACATACAGATGGACCAGCAGGTCACACATGGGACTAATCTATTCATTTTAAAAATAAATGCATACATTATTAAATCATTTTCTACTTGCAAGATCTGTTGTGTGCAGTATTTGAAAGAAATGTTGTTTTGTTTTCATTGCTTTTTAGCAGGTTCACTCCACTTTAATTTAGCCATTTTTGTCTTTTTCTTCCTCCTAGTGCTCTAAAATGATTTTTCTGATACTGTCAGTGTTGAGGTCCAAGCTCTGGAGATTATGTAGGTCATGAGGCTCTCCCCACCCCCTTTCTTTGTAAAGGGTTTTATCTCCATTCTTTTTGTGAAGAGCATGAACTCAGTGTTTTTGGAAAGAGAAATGGCCTTTAGAAACAGGGAAGTAGGAGATCCTCTTGGGGCCCTCAGAGTCTTTTAGCTTCTGGGTGTTTTAACAGCCCCATGAATGCAGATTTGTAAATTTATTGCAGTGCCATCTGGTTTTTTGCTCGAACCAGATTACTGTTGGCTTGTGTCTGTCTATTGTGGTGGTCACTCCCTAGGAGCTTGCCCTCTCAATCTTAGGGAAGAGTGATGAATATCAGGGGTCAATAGAAATGGGTCACAGGGCAGCTGTCCAAGACTGCCCTGAACTTGATTAACCCACTGTTGATTTTTTAAAATATAGGACATACTATATAAGCTGTTTAAACTCTCTTTTCTCTATTGCATATGACAATAAAGAAGTGTCATTTGCTTGTGTTACCCCCACCCCTGCTTTAGTAAAATTATGTAGATAAAAAGAAGCTAAGGCTGCCTTTTACGTAGTATTGATGTAAGTAGGATTTGCTTGTAGACCAATCCCTTAATGTGAAATTCTTTTGCAGATATTTTTAATGGGATTTCAGGAACTCTTTCACCATTGATTTTAAAATGCTCAGTTACATTCTAACAAGTTTAGTAATATGTTAAACTAATTTTATGGTTTACATGTGTTATTCTAAAGTACGATTTTACCATTGTTGATACGATATGACCACTGTGTGTTCATCTGGAGTTATTTAATTATTGTAGGAGCTGAAAAAAGGGTTATTACAGATCTTGCAGACATTAAAAGAATAATGAAATAAACAACTTTAAACCAAAAATTTGGCAACTTAGATGAAATGGGCAAATTCCTTAAAAAATACAATTTGCTGAAACCAACACAAGGTGAAACAAAATTGGAATAGCCCCATGTCTGTGAAAGAAATTTAATTAACTATCAAAAGGCCCATATGGTTTCACTGGTGAATTCTGTCAAACATTTAAGGAATAAATAATACCAATCTTCTACAAATTCTTTCAAAATATAGAGAAGAATAGAACACTTCTTGGCTTCATTGTGAGGCCACCATAATCATAATTCCAAAACCTGACAAAAGACATTAGCAGAAAAAGAAAATATTGAAGGAGAAAGTCAGGAGACACTGCTTCCTGCACTACTCAGTCACCCTATGTACTTGCTTTTCCATTTCATTTCCATCATCAGAAGGCAGCAGAGTTGGGGAGAGAGGTGTGTGAGGCAGGGAGAAGCAATGTATCCTTTAATTTTCTAAGTTTCAGAATAATCTTATCTCTTGGCACTAAGTAAAGTGTGAACTTTTACTTAAAGGATGTACAAAGTAGCTACAATTTTTTTTCTACTTTTATTCCTAAAATGTGAAGCCAAGGAAACCATAGCAACTGTTTTTATAGCTTTTATTCATATCTGCAAACAAGGGCAAAGGCCTGGGAGGATACATGAAAGTGCTCATTACTTTTTTAAAATGTAGCCTTACAACATGCAACTCCTTCTTTGCTTCACATTGGTGCTAATAGGATCTGTCAGCCCTGCCTTTCTTGTAATTGAGTAAATTGTGACCTCTGTCTAATCCTTCCCCATCCCCCATTCCCTTTGTGTATGTGTCCACTTACCATCCTAAGAACGTGGGCAGTGATAAATAAAGCATTGAGCAGAGCTCTCTCAATGCTTTGAAAGCAGCATGATGCCAGCCCTCTAGTTATATTTCTTTAAGTGTTTACGTTTTCCTGTATTCTTTCTCTTGTGTAGCTGGAACCCTGGGGATGCAAAGCCATGAGAGAGGCCAAGAAGCTAACAAAGTAGCTGTCTCCCTTGTTAGCTTGTTCCTTTATTCTTTCAAAACAAGATAAAAACCATCTGGCTCAGGGCATTACATTTTCCTCCCCCATGCACCTCTATAGATGGAGACTTCACCTGCAGTGAGGGTTTACATTGATTAGGGAGGGAGCAGTAATTCAAGCTTCCATCCTCTTCAAGGATACTTTGCAGTCTTTAAAGGTGCTGACCCACTGAGTTAAACTGTCAAGGGAGGATAAAAAAGTATCTTCATCCCAGGAGGTAACAGCTGCCAGGTTTTCAACACCTTGCACACTGTTGGAAAAATGTCACAATTGTCAGCTAAAAGAAAAATGACTCTGTTGTCATCTTCTGTTAATGACTGGGCCTTATCAAAGGAACTACATAAGTCTTTAAAAGGAGTAAGTAGCTGTTTTCCTTGCCTACCACAGCCCTCCTCCCCAAATCCGATGTTCTAAACATTACCTTGGAGGAGATCCCACAAAAAAAGCAGTGAAGAACTTAAAGTGAAAACATCCAGCATAAGCATGGAAGTGATTGGCATAGCTCCTTTATACAGTTGGATGAATAGGAGGATAAAGTACATCACTGACACAGAAAATGACATTATAGTGTGTATTAACAAAACAACAACAACAACAAAAAGTAATTCATAAGCCAGTGAACTGAGAGAAAACATACTGTATTTCTGCTCTTTAGAGGACAATTTGTTTTCAAGCAGCATCCAGATGGGTAAATACCATGACATTTCTTTTTTCAAGAGAGTCACTTCTTTCTTTAAAAACAAACTCACCGATTTACTTCCTTTAATAGCTCTGTAATGCTTGTATATGATTTCATTCCCTTCTTTCTGATTTGATTGATGAGGGAAAGGTTTAATGAAGTCCCTGATATCAGGCAGGCAGGGGTTTTTTTCTATTTGTTTTAGGTTAGTCATTTTAATTGTGTTGAGTAATTAGAAGGTACACACAGCCAAGGGAGCTTTGTTCTGATAATTGCTCAAGAAAACCCATTCTCTATCTGCCAGTTGCTTTGTGTTAAGACATTTCTCCCCCTAGTGGCAATAGTAAGCATTTGACTTGGCAGTAGGCAAGGTGTAATTGTAATGTGACAAACTATGCTTAAGGGACTATCTTGTAAATACTTTAGTTTGGGGTTTGGCATTATTTCATTATATATGTGTTTTTTCCCCCTGTGAAACTTCCTACCTCCATTTTTTTTGTTTGTTTTTTTTCCTGAGGTGCTTTGGGCTTTGGATGGGAAAAAATTGCCTGAGATGTTTATTAAAAAAAATCACAGTGCATCCTGGGTAATGTTTTGCAGCTTGACTTAATTTTAGTCATCTGTTTTAATTACCTATTTATAAAAATGCTTTTGCATTTGTAGACATTATTTAATACTTTGGAAGAAGCACCTCATTTGAAATAAATAAATCAATTGTATTTATTTTAAACAGTTCATGTAAAAGACCTTAAAGGTAATTAATGTAGGTCTCTTAAGTAAGACAAAAGTGATCTTTCCAAGTCTGATGAAGTGATTTGTTTATTTAACTTCCCACTTCGGCTGAATCCTTCAGAGTCTAATAACTTTAAAAAAAAAATGGTTTGGCAATTTGTGTCTAGCTCCAAAAACCCTTCTTTAAAAAGCAGCAATTTAATAATCAGCTTTCTTAAAATTACTTTGAGGAAGGAAAACTATATAGGGGGTTGGTGTTTTGTTTTATTTCAGTGTAATCATGCTTTGATAAATTATGTAATCACTGACTTTGTAGAAAAAATATTATTGAACTCCTGGGTTGCAATGACCATAAAAATTGTATTTTCATATAGAGACTTGAGATATTGTGAATAAATTATAAAGGAAACAGCTTATATGCTGATTGAAGTTCATATGGGTCCAATTCATTTTGTGTTCAGTGCTAAATCTGGATGTACCATTAAAAAGAAAAGAAAATGGGGTGGGAGGGTAGCCTATTGTGCCCAGTTGTATAAGCCCTTAAAAATCTGCCCTAAGCGCAACATGGAATGAGATCAGATATAGCTTTGCATCTATTGGATGAGATTCAGTAGATCTGTGTGACATTTTTAAAGCCTAATTCCAGCTTTCTTAGATGTCGCTTTGTAGTTTGCCTTTTCTGACCCATATTCTTGCCTGGGACTTGATTTGATGTTACCATATATCTGATAGTCCCTGTCTCCCTCTTCCCCACCCCCCAATCACTAGCCATTTTCATTATACTATATCTTGTTTTGCTATAGGGCTGCTGAACAGATTTCTTAAGCAGCTTTTTGCAAGGTTAAAAGAATGCAGCCTAGTAACAAGTTTGTGTCATTTTAAATATATACCTTCTAGTAAATAAGGAGAAGTCTGGCAATCAATCCCTTTTAGTGTGTTATATGTTTCACCTGACAACTAAACCTTCTATTGATTAGCCATTACTTTGTTAGATAATCCTATGTCATTGAATCCATTGTAAAAAATTAAACTCTTTAAAATGTTTTACCCTAGCAGCAGTCTGAAAATTGAAAACTTGTTCAGAATTACAGCCTGCTTTCACAAAGGTAGTTTTCAGCAAGGCATCTTACTGGTTTACGTTTATGTGCCTTATATGCAATATAAAAACATATTAAAGTACTCCAACGCAGAACTCTCTGCCTCTGGTTCAGCAGTGAAGCTACCTTTTCAAATGTTGCATGGGGACAGAACCTATCTTGCTTGTGGCTATTACACTCACTAGTTTAATTATATAGCCTGGAGGGAGTCTTATAATAGTAAAATAGTGAATGTAAAATAGTGAATTTTTTAGCCTTTTTATCCCAAAGTGATCTAAGGACTGTGACAAGTTTTACTTTACTAATCTATGTAACTTGGGAGCTAAACAGGTCATATACCCATTTTACAGATGGAATGTCTAGAAAATAAAAACCCATATATAGCCTTATTCTGGAAACTTCTACAAACCTAGAATAGGTTTCCTGAATCTATCTAATGTTCCCCTGAGTTTGGTATACTCATTCCTAAGGGGGAAAGGAATTTTGTAGGAAAACAAATCAGTTTTCTACCTGCTGTTACTCCCGCCCCTGAAACAAAACATATTTTTATTAATTAACTGTATAAACCTCTGGTATTATCCCCCTAATATGTTAACTGAATACTTTTATATTTTTATTGAAATAAAATTTTCATACAGTGAATTATGTAAATATTAATTGCATAAGTCAATTAATTGTTGATAAGTCTATCCACCATGTAACCACTACTCCAATCAAGCTATAGAACACTTTCATTACCCAGGAAAGTTTCCTTGGTCTCCTACCCCGACAACTTCCCCAAACCCAATGAATCAAATATGACCAGTTCACTGCCATAGATTAGTTTTGCCTTTTCTAGAATTTCATGTAATAATAACATACTTTTTGGGGTCTGGTTTACTAAGTATATATGTGATTCATCTTTGCTGCTGTGGATAGCAGTAATTTATTCTCTTATTATATAGTATATTCCATTAAATAGGTATGCTACAGTTTATTTTTTATTCTTTTGACGGACAATTTCCATTTTTATAAATGAAGTTGCTATGAATGTTCTTATAGAAAGCCTTTTCGGTGAGCATGTGTTGAATAATTTTTATGTGCTTATTGGCTATTCAGATAGTTTCTTTTGTGATGTATCTTAAGTTGTTTGCCATTTGAACAAATTGGTTTGTCTGTCTTATTGAGTTGCAGAACTAAACTGTATCGAGTGCTAGATGTGTTCTGAATATTTTCTCACAGTCTGTTCTTGCCTGTTTATTCATGTGTTTTTTGATAAGTTTCTAATTTTTTAATGAACTCCATCTATCAATTCTTGCCCTATGACTGAATATATTCTTCTAGAAGCTTTATAAGTTTTAGCTTTTACCTTTAAGTCTATGGTCCATCTCAAATTAATTTTGATGTACATTGTGAAGTAAATTTGGGATTTATTATTTTCCCCATGCTTTCTATTTTTTTATTTTTGCAATTAACTTCATTTTGCTTGTAATAACAAAGATGAAAACATCCCCATGCTTTTTTATCCAGTTGTTTTGGCACCATTGTTGAAAAGCCTGTATAGTTGTCTATAGACATCTTATTTCTGAACCTCCTAGAAAAGAGGCTGCTGTTGGATACAGAGCAAAGGGTGACAGCCACTGAGGCTCTGACCTACTCCTACTTCAAGTCCCTGCATGATACAGAGGATGAATTCAGGTTCTTCTATTTTTGTTTTATTAAATCCTCACCCAAAGATGTGCTCATTGATTTGAGGGGTGGGGGGAGGAAGAGAGGGAAGAAGAGGCGCGGGGGAGGGTGGGGGGAGAGAGAGAGAATGAATGAATGAGAATGTGAGAAAGAAACATCCAAGTAGAGATTGAACCTTGACTGGAATTGAACCCGCAACCCTCTCGCAGTGGTTCTCAATCTTCCTAATGCCGCGACCCTTTAATACAGTTCCTCATGTTGTGGTGATCCCCAACCATAAAATTATTTTCATTGCTACTTCATAACTGTAATTTTTCTACTGTTATGAATCGTAATGTAAATATCTGATATGCAGGATGTATTTTCAGGGGTCGCGACCCACAGGTTGAAAACCTCTGCTAGTGCATGAGATGACTTTCCAACCAGCTGAGCCACACCGGCCAGGGCAGGATCCTCTGGTTTTTAGAGGTGCCTGCTCTTATAGCAAACAGAGTCAGCCCTCCATATTCACAGGTTCCACATCTGTGGATTCATCCAATGGCAGATCACATATATTTGAGGGAAAAAGTTACCTTGTTGCTGACAGATGCTATGTAGAGTGAGGCCTGCAATGGTCGTGTCTAGATTGTGTATAACACTGTCTTGACTATTTTTGCTTCAATATGTCTTAAAATTGGGTAGTGTGAGTCCTCCATATTTTTATTATTTTGGCTATTCTAGATACTTTGCATTTATATTTAAATTTTAGAATCAAGTTAGCAAAAGTTTTTCAATGCCATTGTAAATTTTTTTCATTCTGCTTGTTGCTTATTATAGATAGAAATTGACTTTTGACTGTTGACCTTGTCTCCTGTTATGTAATAAAGACAATTTCATTTCTTTTCCAACTTATAGGTATTTTATTTCTTTTTCTTACTGTATTTGAATGTTGAATAGGTGTGGTAAGAGAACATCTTTGCCTTGTTCCCACTCTTAGAGTGACTATGATGTTAGTTGCATTTTTTTTACATTTCTTTAATGGGATTGAGTTTCCTTTTGAGTAAAAGTTCCCTTTTCTACCTTGCTATGGTTTTATTAAAATTATGAATAAATGTTTAATTTTGTCAAGTGCAAACCCTTTTATTCTGTTAAGGTGAATTACATTAATTGACTTCAATAAGAATTGTTGTGTCTGTGTTCATGAGAAATATAGCTTTCTTTTGGGGGGCAGGGGGGCAGATTTTGGTGTCAGAGTTGAGTTGGGAAGTCTTCCCCTCCTCCTCCATTTTCTAAAAATGTTTGTGTATGATCTTGGTGTTATTTCTTTCTTAATATTTAATAGAATCAGCCAGTGAAACCATTTAGGCCAGTAGTTTTGTGTGTTTTCTTGTGGTGGAAAAAATTTAAATATTTCAAAATTTGTGTGGATTGACTTTTAATAACAATTTCAATTTTTAGAATATATTTAGTGCTATTAAAATTTTCTGTTTCTTATGTCAGTTTGGATAATTTGTATATTTTAAGAAATGTGTAACACTTTGCAATCTGTTAATATCTTTTATTTTAATACTCAGATTATTCCATATTGGGCTAATGAATACCCCTCTGATCTATTTCTATCATTCCTTGAGTATTTCCAGATTCATCTTGTATTTTCCCTGTTCAATCCTGCATTCAGCCATTTCTTGGGGGAGCGCTATGGTTCTTTTTAGTGCAGATTGGTAGTGAGAAGCCAAGATTGAAACATTAACTTTATTTTACACATATATTTATGTTTTTTAAAATCATGAGTTCACATTAATGCCTCTAATTCTAATCCAACACCACAGTTTATTCTAGATTTCTTCCTTTTCATATTTATAATTATTTTTTCTAATAGTAAGAAACCCGGTTTGAGATTTCTTTCCTTTCAGCACTTTAAAAATGTTGCTCCTTATCTTCTAGCCCTCCTTGTTTATGGTGAAAAGTCTGCCACTATGTATATGCTTTCATGTGTGCAGAATCCCCTTTTTCCTTTGGCTGCTTCAAGATTTTGTCTTTGTGGTTGTCAGCAGTTTTTACTGTGTTGGATCTAAGTTTTATTTTCTTTGTTTTTAATCTCTTTGAGGTTTGCTGACCTTAGATCAGTAAGTCAATGGTGTTCACCAAATTAGAGAAATATTTGGTCATTATTTTTATAATATTTTTGTGCCCCATTCTCGCCTTTCTTCTGGGTCTCCAAGTGAACATATGTTGTTAGATCATTGAAAATTGCCCAACAGATGACTGAGATTCTGTTTACTGTTTTTTTCTTTTTCTCTCTCTGTTCTTCAGTTTAGATCATTTCAGTTGATCAGTCTTTAATTTCATAGACCTTTTCTTCTTCATCTCCAGTCTGCTTTTAAACTCATCCAGTAAATTTTTAATTTTAGATAATGTACTTTTCAATTATAGAATTTCTGTTTGGTTCGTTTCAGGTTTTAATTTTTCTGGTGAAAATTTTCATCTCAAAATTTCCGTTGTAATCATATTTCTCATTTAAGTTGTTGAACATATTTATTATAGCTTCTGTAGAGCCTTTATGTACTAATTTCTACAACTGGGTCCTCTCATGGTCATATTCTGTTTGTTCCTTTTTCTCTTGACTATGGGTCCCATTTATCTGCTTCTTCTTATATATAGAAGTTTTTTTTATTATATAATGGGCATTATAAATGGTACATAGCAGAGACTATGGATTCTTTTATCTCCCTCTGATTAACTTTCTGGCTGGTAATTGCAACTTCATAGAGTCTGATTTTGTGTCCATTAGGGGCAGATGTGTTTTGATTTTACCCTTAGTCCTAAAGAAGATCTCTTAGTTCTAAGATTTATTCTTTAGTCTCAGTGCGGGGGTTTTCTGAGTTTTCAGTGGAAAGTTTGAGGTGCTCATTAAGCCCCTCTAACTGAGTAGAAATCAAATTATAAACTCTGTCTCCTCTCAGGGGAAGCAGTTAGAATCTCTGCTCAGATCTTTTAGTCTTCCAGCTGTTGCTTTCCATTGGAATGCTTGGAGTCTCCCACTCATGTCTGTAGCTTGGGGTTAGCCATGGATTTGAGGGGAACTTGTATGCATGTTTTGATGCTTCTTCCCTCCCCATGGCTCTTTCTATTTTCTATGATTTCTCTTCTCATTTTCCAGCCACTGTGGTAGCCCTGAACTCTACCCTCTGACATCTCAAGCCAATAGACTGTGGCTTTCTAGTTGAATTTTAGTCACCCTGCACCAAGTGGACTCATGAGTAGTAGTACCCTTAGGGAAAAACACATAAACATGGATCTCACCAGAGTGATTATCCTCTTTCAAGGTCAGTCCATTCCTCCCCCCAGTTTCTGCCTACTTTAGGTCAACCTCCTGCCTTTAATGTAGTTATTTTAAAATATTTTTCTATGGTTTATAATTATTGTATAAAGAGGGTTAATTTAAACAAACATTTCTACCATTGTTGGAGCCAGAATTTTTTGGCTTAAAGTTTTATTTTATTCAGTATATACCAACTATTGCATAAATGTCTTTTTAAAACAGTTTAGTTTTAAAATATTATATGTTGTCTGTATAGGAATAGTAAATGTTTGTGGTATTAATGATTGCAAAAGAAGTACTGAACCCTGATCCCAAAATATAAATGTACCAGAGGTCCTATACATTAATGTCAAATGATCCAGTTGATTCTTTTAAAATATGTTTTGAAATAATTTCAAATTAAGTAATTTAAGACTACAACAGTTAAGTGGATACCTTTTTAAAAATTTAACTTGTTTAACTGGAAACCAATTTTATAACATTTTTTCTGTTTTTTATATTTTATTTTTGTCTACCTATTCTCTTTCCAAAGAATGATAATTGACCAAAAATGAATTATTTAAAATACCTATGCAACCATTGCTGATATAAATAAATGAATAAATATGTAAGTAAATTGGCAAAGAAGTCATAGGTCTTCCTTACAGAAAAATTCCAGTTAATAAATGTAGAAGGAAAGGGAGAAATTTAAAAATTACCAATAGAACACCACAGTAAAAATCACCATAGGTGTAAGATCTAGCAATGGATGCTAAAATTAGTGAGCAAAGCTGAAGCAGAAAATAATATTTGTATAGTCTCAAAGTATTTCCCCCAATATTTAGTAATTTCTGAAAGAAGAAAAAAATAAGCTTACAATTGGGAATCTTGGCAGACACAATCTTAGGCAAGTGATCAAGGCTAACATCACTAGAAATATTCATCAACATATCTCCTGACTTGATACATTGAGACAGGCACATCACCTCTGTGCTATCCTTCTTAGTAATGTATAACCTCAATCTGATCATGAGAAAACATGAGACCTTAACTGAGGGATGTTCCATAGATTAATTAATCAGTACTCTTCAGATGTGACAGAATCATGAAAGATGAGAAATTGTAACCGATTAGAGGAGGTTAAGGAGATATGACAACTGAATGCAATGTGGGACCTTGGGTTGGATCCTAAACAGAAAAGGGGCATTAGTGGGAAAAGTGGGAAAACTTAAGTTTTTTATATTGTACCTCGTTAATTCCTTAGTTTTGATAAATGTTCTGTAGTTATGTAAGACATTCACATAAGAAATCAATCTCCAGATTTTTCTCTTTAATTTCAACACACACATTTATACCAATAGTTCTCAGAGTGTTCTTAGACTAGTAGCATTAACATCAACTGGGAACTTGTTAACCCTTTGAGTGCCAACCAATATCCTAGGAACTATGCTAAAATTGCCAAGGCATTTTTGCTGATTTTACAGCAGTTTAGGAAAAAAATTATGAATCGCAAGTAAATGAAGTTTCATATTCAAAAACTTAAAGAAACCTTTACTACATTGACATATTTAGCAATATTATCATCACTAATAAAAGCAGACTTAGAACTGGACGCCATTTCGAAGCTGTGATAGTGCTCCCGGCACTTTGGCAAAAGAAAGGAGGAGCGCGATCACGCTCCCCAGCACGTTAGGGGTTAATAATGCAAATTTTCAGAAGCTCTGGGGATGGGGCCAAGTAATCTGTATTTTAACAATCATCACCAGATTATTCTGATGCATGCTAAAGTTTGAGGACCGTGATTTATACCATCAGTAACAAAACAAAAAAAAGGGGGAAATATTTGTATTAATATATTGGCCAGTTGTTAATAATGTTTGCTTACCATAAAGTACAACCAGTTTTCTTTTTAATTGTGGTAAAACACATGTAACATAACATTTACCATGTTAGTCATTCTAAAATGTACAGTTCAGTGGCATTAAATACATTCACATTATGTGTAACCATCACCACCATCCATCACCGTAACTCTTTTCACCTTGTAAAACTGAAACTCTGTACGTGTTAAACAATAACTCCTCATTTCCCTCTTCTCCCAGGTCTTGGCAACCACTATTCTACTTCTGTCTCTTATGATTTTGACTATAAATCTCTAAGTGGAGCTATATAGTATTTATATTTTTGTAATGGACTTATTTCACTTAGCATAATGTCCTCAAGGTTCATTCATGTTATATAGTACTAGAGGCTCGTTGCAGGAAGATTCCTACAAGAATAGGGCTTCCTCTGGCCTATTCCTGCAAGAATAGGGCTTCCTGAGGCTGGAGTGAAGCAGAGAAGGGAGCGCTGCCTCGCTTCCTCCCATCTCCGCTGCCTCGGCTCTGCTCCCTCCTCCGCCACTTTGCTCCCTTCTGCAGCTCTTGGCTTCATTCTACTCTGTCTTCAGTCTTCGCTCCGTGCCTGTGTATGCAAATTAACCACTATCTTTGTTGGGTTAATTTGCATATCACTCTGATTGGCTGGTGGTCATAGCGGAGGGATGGTCAATTTGCATGTTTCTCTTTTATTAGTGTAGACTAGAGGCCCGGTGCATGAATTTGTGCACAGGTGGAGTCCCTCTGGGTGGCCTGCAGGGATCTGGCCAAAACCCACAGTCCAATGCCGCCTGCAGCTCCTACCTGCCGCTCCTGCTCATCCCAGCCCACTGTGCCTGCCGCAGGCTTGTGCCCAATCAGTCCTGATCGGGAGAAGCTTGCGCTGCCACAGCAACGCTCACCAGCCATGAGCCCTGCGTCTGGCACCCTCCCAAGGGGAGTAGCCTGTGGGATCAGGCTGAAACCAGCTCTCCAACATCCCCCAAGGGGTCCCGGATTGCAAGAGGGTGCAGGCCAGGCTGAGGGACCCCATCGGAGCATGATCGGGGCCGGGGAGGGACCGAGGAAGGGCTCCTGGGCATGTCCTGCCCATCTTGCTCAATCCCTATTGGCCAGACCCCAGCAGCAAGCTGACCTACTGGTAGAGCATCTGCCCCCTGGTGGTCAGTGCACATCATAGTGAGCAGTTGAGCAGCCGTAGCATATCATTAGCCTATTAACGCTTTGATTGGTTGTTTGGTTGTTCTGTTCAGTCTATTTGCATATTACCCTTTTATTATATAGGATGTGTGTCATAATTTCCCTTCCTTTTTAAGGCTTAATAGTATTTCATTGTGTATATATATCACATTTTGCTTATTTTTTTTAAATATATATTTTATTGATTTTTTACAGAGAAGAAGGGAGAGGGATAGAGAGTTAGAAACATCGATGAGAGAGAAACATCGACCAGCTGCCTCCTGCACACTCCCTACTGGGGATGTGCCCGCAACCAAGGTACATGCCCTTGACCGGAATCGAACCTGGGACCTTTCAGTCCGCAGGCCGATGCTCTATCCACTGAGCCAAACCAGTTAGGGCAACATTTTGCTTATTTCTTAATGGTTAAGGTGTAACCTATCAATGTACAATTGGGCTGCTTCCACATTTTAGCTGTTGTGGATAATCCTGTTATGAGCACTACATACAAATACAGTATACTAACTAGTATCTTCAGGATTGTTTTAATTCTTTTGGGTATATACCCAAAATGGTATTATTGGATCATATGGTAATTCTATTTTTAATTATTTAACTACCACCATACTGTTTTCCACAGTGGCTGTACCATTTTACATTTCCATTAACAGTGAGTGCATAATGGTTCCAATTTCTCCACATCCTTGCCAACACTTGTTTTCTGTGAGTTTTTGTTTTGGTTGTTGTTGTTTTACTAATACTCATCCTAATGGGTGTAAAGTGGTATTTTGTAGTTTTGCTTTGCATTGCCCTAATTATTAATGATGTTGACTATCTTTTCATGTGCTTGTTGGCCATTTGTATATCTGCTTTGGAGAAATACCTATTCAAGTTCTTTGCCCATTTTTCAATAACTAACACCCCTACCTTCCATACATATAGTGAACCACTGCTGCTCACATACTTGTTTATGGGGACATCAATGGCTCTCCTGGGTTTTCCCCTGTCTTCCTTGTCCCTCAGTACTCATAAATCTGGAATTTACATATAGAATCTATTTGTGTATTGATATTGAGAAATAGAGCAGAATTTAAAAACTATATGATAATATTTTAATATTTAAACCTGTTTCCAAAAAAACCTACACCTCTCTTTACAGACTTATAACAGCTGTGCCAGACTCTGCTTAAACCAAGAAACAGTATGTCTAGCAAGCACTGCTATGAAGACTGAAAATTGTGTGGCCAAAGTAAGTAATATTACTCAATATATATTTTACTACATCATAACGATGCATTATCTATAGATGTCTTCACTCATTATTGCTATTAAAACTTATTACAGGATTTTATATTAAAAAGAATATAGCAGGCATCATTTTATCCAAATTAGATTACAAGTTGGAATCTCCAGCTCTTTAATTGCAGCAGAATTTTTTGATTATGTATTCTGGTCACACTTCAGTCTAAATCATGTTTGTTGCTTAACACTAGCTATGGATTGTAACAAAAAAGTAAGGTTTTATGTAAGAAAATATACAAATTATTTTTATGTTTGTTCATGGCTTCTAAGTGTAATTAAGAATAATGTACACCATTGCAAGGATTGTGAAATATGGTATAGAAAATCCAATTATTATATCAATACTGTTATTTATTAAGTGGCTTAATGGTAGAAATATTCCTTTTGGTGATCTTGATCTGATTGGGCAAGATACAAAAAAATAATCTTACATATTAGAGATTTTACAATCTAATAATCATATAACTATAACTCAAATTTTCTAAGTATCTTTAATTACTCAGGAGCTTTGACCTAAATTTAGATATCATCCATTTTGATTATTCCAAGAATAAATAAAATTTCAGTATGGGCTTTGTTTCTAGACTTTTACTTTGCATATCTGCAAACTTACTGCCTTCAATAACTTGTTGTCACTGTTACAGCATTCCCAATTTTAACTACTTCAAGTTTAATCTATTGTATTATACAATTAGGCTCTTAATTACTTACTGTTATTTTTAGAGCTAGGGCTGGTATCATCCTTTGCTACAAAAATCAAAGGACAGCAATATTTTTTATTATTTTTATTTTATTTCTTAAAACATGCAGTATTTTGTCAACTGAAAATATATAATAGAAAATATAATCAATGGAAATGATCCATATAAGAAATGTCAGAATTTATTTTAAATTGTAGTTTAAAAAAGATAGTCATTTAAGTGTCTCTTAAATTAGAATGCCTTAATGACTTACTGTAAAATATGAATATTATAAATTATACTTATATATTTCATGTTTCAGTCATTTAGTAACAGCTAGCAAGTGCTAATTGACCCTATTTTATACCTAGCATTTGTACATTGAGATGGGGGACCAATTATTTGGGCCTTTAAAAATAATCTGTCTCCTTTTTGGCCACACTGCTCTCAGTTTTATCACAAGTGGGTGACTTCTGGCTAACCAAGGTAAAATCTTAACATGAGCACCGATCCAAGGACAGGGTGACAATTTTAATGAGTTTCATTGAGAGCTGGCCAAGTGAGCATCTGTCCTTTTTGTTTTCTCCATACTTTGTAAACCAGGATCTCTAAAGCTATGTAGTTATTTTGTTGTGTGTCTGTATGATGTGGTGTATGTGTTTTTTTCTCTCCCACGCTCTACTTAAGTGGTGCATGGTTAGAAATCTTCTGGCATCTGGCACAATGGCATAATTTCTTCTATGCTCTTGGGTGAGGAATTAAGTTTGCTCATTGCTGCTCATCAGTCTGTTTCCTTTGCTCCCAGATGGTGACCCTCTCATCCCATTCTTGCTTATTTTAACGTTATTCTGACATCTATATCCTTTCATTGATTCCTTAAATACCCTAATTGAATAATGATTTCTATCATTTTCTATTGGAACCCACCTAACTTTCTGGTTCCTTTTTTCTTTTTTTAAATATATTTGTATTGATTTCAGAGAGAGGAAGGGAGAGATAGAAACATCAATGATGAGAGAGAATCATTGATTGGCTGCCCCCTGCACACTCCACAATGGGGATCGAGCCCACAACCTAGGCATGTGCCCTTGACCAGAATCGAACCCAGGACCTTTCAGTCCGCAGGCCAACGCTCTATCCACTGAGCCAAACCAGCTAAGGCTTATCGTTCCTTTTATTGGCCCATGGGCTGTCTTCTGGTTCATTTCTTCAGAATTGAGCTAAATAAACTATTGATCAATGGCAAATAAAAACATGTAGCTGAATTCTATTCTTTTTGCAACAGCCTTCAGTGAAGTACCAACAACATGGGAATAGGGGAAGAATTTTCCCTTTTTCATTTACATGTTATAGTATATCATGATTCTGTACTATTTCTGTTGGCCTCATTTATTGCTTGACCTTTGAAAAATAATGACTTGGTACTATTTTTGTAGGTCTGCAAGCTTGTCCCTATTTCCTGTTCTTCACCTTTAGCCCTTAACTGAATAGTTTCATCTGCTACACTTGATATGGCTGCATGGTTTTTAAGTTGGTACAACTGTCTGTTGATTCAGATTGTACTCCAAAGTGGCCTTGAATGTCCAGCCGTCTCCATGTGAGAGCAACTATAATATAGTGATAGCAACCATTTTGGGCTCTAGTTCAAAGCAGTCAATTCTGGTAGGAGTGACTTTGATTTAGGTCAGTGATGGCGAACCTATGACACGTGTGTCAGAGGTGACACGCGAACTCATTTTTTTGGTTGATTTTTCTTTGTTAAATGGCATTTAAATATATAAAATAAATATCAAAAATATAAGTCTTTGTTTTACTATGGTTGCAAATATCAAAAAATTTCTATATGTGACACGGCACCAGAGTTAAGTTAGGGTTTTTCAAAATGCTGACACGCCAAGCTCAAAAGGTTTGCCATCACTGATTTAGGTGGAGATGGTAATTAAAGTCTAAAACCTTACCATTGAATACTGTTTATATGAGTTTTAGAGAAAACTTTACTACCAGTTATTCCCTTAAAAATAGCAATGTTGTTATGTTCGGACTCCTTATAGTGCATTGTATGTGACTCTTCATTGCTGGAAATATCTTACAATAAGTGTTTTACTATAGGTCTATGGAAAGAGACCCATTGGCCCTGTTTAGAATACAAAATACCCCCACAAAGTTGTAAGACAAACTACAGTCACCCTAGGTTAATAATAATCTTCTGAATCTCTAACTTGAAGAATGATGCCTAAAAAAGATCTATAATAATAAAAGGGTAATAAGCTAATTAGACTGGACATCCTTCCAGACAACCTTCCGGACAAAGCCAGGGCTGCGAGGGAAGCCCAGGTCCTGGGTGCCTGCCAGCGGCCGCAGGGAAGCCCGGGTCCCGGCTGCCAAAGGGAAGCTGGTGCCTGTAGCCGGGGGAAGGAAGGCCTACTCTTGCACAAATTTTGTGCATCGGGCCTCTAGTTTAAAAATAAAAATGGAGGAGGGGTCATTTTATCAGTATAACTTAATCCAGGTAATATTTGGAGGCACTTGAAATGTCTTATTTTCTTCCAAAGCCTTCCTTCTTAATAATTATAACCCTGAATTTTATGAGATTTGTGATTGGAACATGATGAGCTTTGTATTTATTGTACCTTTAAATGGACAGTCATTATTGACTGCCAACTTAGTGTTTAAAATCAATAATTACATTGTACCTGATTGTCAACCTTCATGATGCTTTTTAATTGATAAAGAAAACTAACTGGAAAAATCAAGACCCCCTAATCCTTTGTTATCTTTTAATTGAACTTTATTTAAATATTACTAAAAAGTTTGATTTCAGGTATTTCCCTAATTTACCCTTATACACACATACACAGTTAAAATTGAGTTGTTTGAACATATCTACCTAGATTTTTGTCCAGGTAGGAAGAAGTACTGCCTCTACGTTTGGAAAATAAACCACTTCAGTAGTCCTTTGTAGATAGATGTGTTCTGTATTATAGTTGTTGTTGTTTGTTGTTATTGTTTTTTACTTGAGACTAATAATCTGTTTGTAACTGACTGAGACAGAAAAATGTGATGTTCCTTTCCACTTACTCCAGATTTTGATAGAAGACTTGTTTTATTTATTTCCAAAATTATATCCGCAGGAAACAAGCTGTTTAAATTCAGATTATGCTGAAGCAAAATGGTCCTGGTATGAGAAGCAACGTGCTGTTTTACGAGCACAGAGTCCCTTTTCTCATAACTGATTGATAGTAAATATTTTCCTGAAGAATTATTGCCAACCATGAACAGTGCAACTGTTTCACTTTTTTTCCTTGCTACTTGCTGTACCAGCCATTGTCGGTAATTAAGATCTACAATTCACAATGCAGACGTTTGCACTTCCTCTGGGTCTGTGCTATTTATAAGGCATTTCAGCTGTTCAGAGTTTCTTTTGAGTTTTAAACTACATGTGAACAGGCTTCTTTAGTACACTGTTCTACAAGTAGCACATTAGATGGTCCATTCTTTGCACAGGTTCCTCTGTTGGGTCTAACAATTAGCTTTTAGAGAATACAGTGGGGCCTTGATGTACATTTAAATGTAACCATATCACTGAGGCCAATGTGGTTGGAAAAACTCTGAAGTGTAACGTGTTACACATTTGGCTTATTCTTAAGGCAGGAATAAAGTTTAGAAGTAATATTTTCCCTTTCATCTTCAAATGTTCTTATGAATTTAATGAGTGTTAATGGTGTGGGTGGCTACAGAGAGGTTCTGAGAAATACTAGTAGGAGTGACTTTCCAAGTTCACTTTTGAAGTAATAACAGAATCAAGGGCCATTGTTACAAACAAGAGTTTGTGTGTTTGTCAGATTAAGAATACAAGTATACATAAACTTCTGGATGTGTACGATACTTATACAAAGGACAAAGGACGCCAAAAGGGATCAGCAGCCTGACTACACTTTTGTTATATAATCAGCTTTATGACCCTTTAGGAATATGCCATTGGAGAGGAAAGTTTAAACAGGAATCCTGGTCTATATTAAAACTGGTAAAATTCGAAGTCACTTTCTACCATTTCAAGAGAGTTCGTTTTTTTAAAAAGTCCAGACCCCAGTGAGAGTCTTCGTGGATTATGCCTGAGAGTCAGAGTAACTGCTGGCATAGTCTCCTTGCTACCTGCATTTATTGTTAAAAATACAAGAGAAAGAAACAAGAAACTGAAAGTGGTTGACAAAATATGTTTAAAACTTTGCGCTGAGTGGAGATCAGTCTGGCTGTTTTTAAGCCTGAA